GTGTGGGCGTGGGTGTGGGTGTGGGTGTGGGTGTGGGTGTGGGTGTGGGTGTGGGTGTGGGTGGGTGTGGGTGGGTGTGGGTGTGGGTGGGTGTGGGTGTGAGGGTGGGTGTGGGTGTGGGTGTGAGAAAAGAGAAGACTCACACCCACACCCACACCCCACATTCACACCCACACCCACCCACACCCCACACCCACACCCACCCATACCCACACCCACACCCACACCCACACCCACACCCACACCCACCCACACACCCACACCCACACCCGCAGACTCTGAAAAGCCAACGATGGGTGCGACGAGTGGTCGAAACTTGAACATATATATTTTTTTTTCCCGTTCTGTCCGAATTTCGAGCCCTCTGAAGTAGTTTCCCATCGCGCATTTATTTTCGACTACTCGGACATATTTCGGTCGCTCGACAACCATCAAAATATCGACTACTCGAAGAGAGGAGATCTGTCGGAAAGATCATTTCGATTATGCGATATGATTACGATGAGTCGGGGTCCATCGAACTATCGAGTGGTCGAAAACATTGTTCCATCGTGCATTCATTTTCGACTCGTCGGACACGATTCAACGACTCATAGTCTATCGAAGCTTCGATTACTTGGAGATAGGAAGCCTATAGGAAAGATAGCTTCGATCACTCGAAATTAATCGAAATATCGAGTGCTTGGCAGGACACACATATCGAAAAGCATAATTCCAATTGCTCGTTTTAACTTTGATTGCTAAAAACATCTTAGAATTCAGTTTTTGAATGATTGTTTTTACTCTTATTGCATGTTCCTTTTAGAGAATTTTGGTTTTTTACAGGTGCTTTCACGTAATTTAATCAATTAAACAATATTATTTATCATTTACAACTAGAACAACGATAGAAATATGTTTATAGTCCTCAGAAAAAAATAATCGTAATGTATTTACTTTCATAACGCCCCAAACTTCCTGAGCTTATGACTAACTCTAATTTTCGATTACTCATTGACAACGAAAGTTTATGGGATCATTTAAAACTATTGATTTAGTTTTTGCTCGTCGAAATTACGGAGATAGTTGAATATTACAACTTTAGTAGAGATAGATAAGTCAAGTTTGTCTAGTTTTAGTTCAATATTTTTTGTTGCTTTTTTAAAAAATAATCTAATTAATTGCAATGTAATTTATGCTTTAGCATAAATTTTTTATTTAACGCAATGGAACTGATAACAGAGAAAATTGCTTCAATCTAAAATCAGCGACGGCAATATTTATGAGTTGCTTTTAAAGAAACTAATTAAATTTATACTTAAATCAAATAAAAAAAGATATAGAAGTTAAACATGTTTCATGATGATACTTAGATTTATCTAAAATTAAAACGTTATATTTAGTTCATCTTGTCATTCGAAAAATTCATTGTTTACATTAAAAGTAACCTACATTTGCTTCATTATAGAATATCTTATTTCTAACTACGCCGTATATCTAATCATCATATTTTGAATTGATCTATGCAAGCTTCGTATTCGTAAGTACATATGTTCGAATCTTCACCTCTGCAAAAATATCCGATAGGTATCGAGTACTCGAAAAAAAATCAGACGTACGGAACGAAATTTTTTTGAAATTTTTGAAAAATGTTCGAGTACTCGGAATATCGACCCTTCACGATGCCTTGCGAATCGGGCCTATTGAAACCCATCGAGAAAGGTCCCACGGTGGGCATCGGAGTGCTAGTCCGACACGTCGGAACGCCATTTTCCAATAGGTCGAGGGGGCGACAATGGGTGAACAATTCTTAATTTGATTAACCTATCGGATGGTTCAGATCGACACCTCGAAATACACATCGAATGACTGCCTGGGCGGTGATAAATTTTTGTTATATGATAATGAAAAAAATGATCATCGAATTATTATTTTATCTTCAAGTACAGATTTAAATCGACTCTCGATTTCTGATCATTGGCATATGGATGGGACCTTTAAAGTAAGTTTCATATTATTACCGAATAGCTAAAGGACGTGTTATATTACATAAACTTTCTTATAAGTCTCACCAAAACTTTTCTATCAATTATATTCAGTTCATGGTCATTTGCGAGGTCGTTCATTGCCGTTTTTATATGCATATCTTCCTGGTAAAGCTAAACATATTTACAAAGAATTTTTCGACGCAGTACTACAAAATATTACTAAACACCTGACGTCGATTACTATTGATTTCAAAGTTACTGTTGCAAATGTTCTTAAACAAAAACTTCCATCAACGAAAATAATTGCTTGCTTTTTTATTTCAAAAATAAATTTATGGAGAAAAATTCGATTACGTTTTGCTTAACTGAAATATGAACTAAATTAAATTCAATATTCATACAACCTTGACTTTTTCGTTTAAGACGTTAGTTTGGTGCAATTGTTTCTCCATGATCGTGAAGTTAGGCATCAGTTGAAGAACTTCGCGTGTTTAGCATTTGTAACAGAAAAACATGTTATTGAAGAATTTCAAAAGCTCGAAGAAGAATCACCAGAATCAATGAATGGTTTGTATCAAATATATTTTATAATAAAAATAGTAATTCTTTTCCATTGTATCCATAGAATTTATTGATCATTTCGAGGATAATTGCATCAGTCGTCAAGGTCGTAATAATCGTCGTCGTTCATCTCGATTTGCAATATCTTTCTGGAGTTATTTCGATCGTCTTGATTTACAACTTCCACGAACCAATAATCCTCAAGAAGCTTGGCATAATACCCTTCAAGTAACGTCTTGTTTTGCTATCAAACGTCTATTAACTATTTATTTCTATTTTGATGCAGAATTCTTGTCGTAAACATCCGTCTATATATTAATCAATTCATGATCTTAAAACTGAGCAACATGCTAATCTTATTTTTGCTGAAAAAGCTGAAGCTGGAACTATAAAAATTGTTAAACATGCTTTATATGAAGAAATAGACGAACAGCTCCAAAATCTAGTTGCTAATTTTAATATACGTATATCTTCGAAAAGAATATTTCAAGAAAGCTAGAGCTTTATTTAACTTTTAAATTTTTATTAATAAATTTTTCATCTTTATAATGTATAAAAGGTTCAACTATCGGCGAGCTCAACTTTCGGAGCTCAACTGTAGCTTCACCTTTTAGGTGTATCCAATAATTTATATAATTTTCGTCAAATCCAATCAATAGCTAATGCTCGTAGAAAATGTGTTTGATTATCTTCTATTATAACTGTTGATTGTGTTCCATTGAAATTCATTCGATAAATTTTACTAGCTTGTCGATCACTAGTGTATATGTTTTGATCTTTTCAATCATATGTAATACCTGATAATCCCATAAAACCATGTGAAACAGTCAATTCATTTTAAAATAGTAATCAATTTTGTTTTTCTCAATATTAAACAAGAACATACGATTTAATCAATTACACCTACGTCCATCAAGATCTTTCTCATAACCACATGCATATTTACATATATAAGAACCTAATGATAGAAAAAAGAGATTACGAAGATATATAAAATGAAATATTTTATACCTGATATATTCTCGCAAAATTGTTGGCAAACACTTGGAGCCTCAACACATTCATTGATATCTAAATATTAATTAAAATTACAAATTTCAATTGAAAAAAGTTGTTTTTTCTTCTAAGAATGGTATCTACGAACAGAGAAGAAATATTATACAATCAAATTTCGAGATCCATATGAAATTGATTTTTACTGATCAAGTGGTGGATTACAGATTGCTAAAAAAAAGGGGTTTTAAATCAACATGAAGTTCAATTTGAATCGATTGATGTAACTTGTCCAGAATGTAAACCTGATTTTTTTACGGAGGAATATTGGTATAAGCATATTATCACTTATACGAACACCATTAGTCATACCAAAGCCGATCCTGATCCGTGGAATTTTAATTTACTCATTAAAGGGCATCGAAAATCGAGAGAGATGAACATGCGCACATCGGTCGTCATTATTTCTCAATTAAAGCATATGGACGAACCTCAATTCTGTTCGAATTGCAAATATCTACTGACTGATGTAATTCTCATTCCTTGTTTTTAACCTGCATCCAAAATGATATAGTTCAGCAAACATGTAAAACTTGTCGATAGCTTGAGAAAACATTGAACTTTTATAATCGAAGTAACCGTTTGAACTCATATTGAATCCACAATGAGCTCTCGGTAGGGCTAGAAAAACCTTAAAAGGTTTTGTTGCCATGGGTTTTCCATACATACCGAAAAATCAAAAACCAGAATTTCAATCTGAGGCTTTGTCCATATATAGGTCGACTGATTCGTACAATATCCTGAAAGTTTCAATATCTCAACAAAAAAAACATTCTTTTCGGCTGAAACTTTCTGAATAAACCCTGATGCAGAATAGAAGCCCACCCCCTGAGTTAAAATTCTCCCTTGAAAATCGAGGTTCATTTTATGAAAAATGAAAGAACCAACATTTCTCTATCGAATAACGCAAAAACTGGCACCGGAACATGCTTTGTTACCAAGTTATAGCTTGCGGAACAGAGGCACCCCCCCCCCCCATGGGCTTCTATTCTGTAGGGGGGTTTACTCTACAGATCGTTCGATCTTTCTATGAGCACAATTTCACGTTGAAGTTCTATTTTTTGATTTTTTAATATATACCTGAAGCTACTGTCGACGTCAAAATATAATGTACTTCGACATGTTTTTACTTATCTCAAGAATGATAGCATCTACAAGCCTGCAGTTTTCACTGTTCGAAAGAGAAATATGGGTGGAAGCAAAATTCTGCTACTTCATTCCGATAATGCATTGGGCAAACCGGTCAGTTTTCGCTGTAGATTTTGACCAGAAATTTTCGCCAAGAATTCTTCTACTAACTATGATTTCCTATTAACTCAATCGATAGTCAAGACATTTTTCTGTTGATCTATGCAAGACCAACTCTTCTAGCTCATTCCATTCAAGAGTTATAAACATTTTACGGAAAACTTTGAAATCAGCCAGCTGACCATCGGTCATTCTGAACTGTATTTAGTCTAGAATAGTCAACTAACCTGAGTCCAATGATGATGTTTGCTTTTCATTTTGACGTCATCTGACGTCGGAACGACAAGATTTAGAAGATACCAGAAACAAAATCTTTCCAACATTAAAAGCTTTATATAGACTGAATTACAAAAACCGTGATCTAGCAACTTCTTATCACATCGATACAAAAAATAAGCATCATCATTGCACTCAAATTAGTTGACTACCCCAGACTCAACACAGTTCAGAGTGACTAGTGGTCAGCTGGCCGATTTCAAGGTTTTCCGTAAAACGTTTGTAACTCTTGAATGGAATGAGCTAGAAGAGGGTGTGGATGTGGGTTACAGGCGACTCTGTACGGTGATATGTGCCTTTAGTAAAGCGACGAGAAACACGTATATCCTATACCATATTTGGAAGGGGATCAAAGAACGATCACTTCGGTACTGGTTCGGTCGGATTGAACTTTTAAAATAGGCTGGTTTTCACCGGTTTTTTTTTGTGGCGTCTTTCTTGAAAATTTTTCGGACCACTAGAGCTTGGTTAGTTTGCTCGTTTTCAACGATATTTATGGTGTCAACGATCAAGACATATAAGCATGAAAGTTTCCAACTAACAAGTTTTCATTCATTGTCAAAATTTGAGTTTCACATATTGGTTAACACACTTACTCGTCCTAGAATGCAAGTCTCGTGTCACGTTAAATGAATTAACCTAGCTAATTATTTCAAATAAGAGTAGATCAAGCCTATCAATTGTAAAGATATCATATCATTATTGAATAAAAACAGCTAAATCACAACTAGATGTTGCACAAAGTTACTTTCTGTGAGTTCCTAGTCGAAACTTTTTGCAAAAGAATCATCGTTTGCTTCTAATATTAGCACATGAAACGTGATAGACTAAACTACAGGTCTTCATATTAGACACTTCAAGAAATATGAATTTCTCAATGTATATCTTCTTAGAACTGTCGTAATGGACTCCTTCTCGAAAGAGTTGATTGGTTAATTCACGAATGAAGCGTTTAGGCTTTCCCATGTCAAATCAGTAATTGCAAGCATCGGATACTCGGTTCATCCCATCCGGTAGAAAAAACTACGACCGGTTCCAACAATACTACTCACGCATATCATCAAATATGTTCACAAGCACGTAAATCCACTCATATCAAAACACTAAGTCAAACAGATAATCACCGAACTCGAGATGCATAGCGAACCACACCAACATACACATCTTCGCCCACACTCTTATCCACACGCATACTATACATCAACAACCATACCATCAACTCTTCCCTGAAATCACAAAATCCATCAATAACCGCTGCCCCAACAACTAGAGAGTGCCAACGACGATGATTACACGAGCAGATCCAAGAACACAATTCAATTCAGACAATTCAACCATGAAAGAAATAATCAAGGATCTAACAACTCGAAGAAATCTCAATATTCCAACCAAGTCACCTATGTGAAGGCTCTACAAGAATTCGAGAAAACAGAGAACTCTAAGGATTAGAATTCATTAATGATGGACATCCATGATCACACAGAAAGCAGTGCAAGCACTCCAGACTATTAAATTATGTAACGCTCCTCGCGAAACTGGAAAATCAAAGAATTCCAAGGGTTCTCCGACGTATATGAGTGTCACCTCCAAAGACCTGTGGAAGATGCCCAAGAACAACAGGCGTTTCAAGGCATATCAAATCGTCTCACATGATTGTATAGAAGAGAAATGGAATAATTCTCAGTCGTCCCATATATTTTCGGAAGCCAAATGTAGAAAGCGAACGAAGAAATTTAATAATTCCAAACCAACCCAACCGTTAGTAATCTCGAGCATAATGAGGAAACTAAGCACTCAAAAGATTTCAAGCCTTCCCATGCATTTAGATCACTAATCACTCATAGAAATCTATGAAATCTACTAACTCGAAGGCATAGTATCCATTCGAGACTGCAAGATGATGGGATGAGTAAAAAACGCAAGTTCAAGATTTCCTATCCATAAGAGAACGCCAAGAATTATATACAGGCTATGAAGTCGAAGTGTATGAAGTATTCCACTGGATATTTCACTCAGCACGGTGTCAGAAAAGTTGAGGCATCGAAAAATTCAAACCCTTCTGTCGGATTTCCGAAAGTCAAAAATACCGTCAAAGCTCCGAGATCAAAGGATTGCAAAGACTCCACTAATTATTCAGCACTCAGAGATGGAACCAGTCTGAATTTTTGACCACCAGTATTGGTACCGGCTTCATCTCTGCTGGCGCTTATGACAGTCAAGAATGATTGAAAAAACAGGAAATCCAACGAGTTCAAGGTATAAAAGGCTTCGCTGCTATGTGACACAGTCAAGAATGGTTGAAGATATACGAAATCCAAGAATTCTACTGCACTTGCGACACTTACGAATGGTAATGAACCTATGGAATCCAAGGATTCCATAGCACTTCTGACACTTAAGAATGCAAATGAAGCCAATGGATACAATGATTTCAAAAATTCCTTAGCATTTTGAACATTCAGAATTGTTGGAGAATCTGAGAAATTCAACAATTCCGTGCTACTTGGGACACTCAAGAATGATCGAGACGTTAAGGAATAATGATCACAAGAATTCCCTAGTACTTTCTACAGTGATGAGTCCCGAAAAAGTTAAGAAATCCAAGGAACAGGAAGAATCTCCGCCACTTATGATCGATGAGGCACCTGAGAAGCTAAAGACTCCCAGAAATTCAAGGACTCCAATGTCCTTGCGACATTTAAGAACAATCACAAAGCTAAGAAATCCAACGAGTTCATGTATTTTATACCACTTGGGAGAGTCGAGAATCGTCGGAAACTTAAGCAACGCAAGGAGTTCAAAGATTCTATAACACTTGGAACAGTTACGAATGGTCGGGCAGCTCAAGAATTCAATGATTCCTAGCACTTTATATCCTTAAGATTGTCGAGAATAGTTGAAAAGTTAAGGAATCCAAGGATTCCTTGCCAGTTGGCCCAGTTTAGAATGGCCGGGAATGAAGGACTCAAAGAAGTTTAATGATTCCCAGACACTTGGGGCAGTTAAGAACGGTCTGAAATCCAAGGATTTCAACCATTGCCTAGCGCTTTGAACAGTCAGAACTTGTTCGAAATCATAGGAAAACCACGATTCTAAGGGCCCCTTAGCGCTTTAATCGGTCTGGATTGGTGGTAAAGTGAAGAAATCCAAGTATTTGAAGAGTTTCATCGCATTTTGTTTGATCAAGGTTAGTGCAAAAACCAAGGATTTCCCAGAAACAATTGGTTTTGCAAGTATTGGCGTGTTGCAGAGGTCATCAGAAACCTGAAAAACCAAGTTCCTTAATCACTTTGATTGATTGTTAATGAATAGAATACATCGAATTTTTCACGGTTTCCAAAGTTTCGAATATCTTGCGATGAAACAGCATGAGATCATACTGGGTTTGCTCAGATATTTCACTTATGATATAAGTGGATATTACTAAAATTTTTAGTGAAACTAAGGATTCTTTGGCGTTTTCGATGGTGGAAACTAATTCATGAGTGTCTATGTCCAACGGTTGGAAGGTTTCTCATACATTTCGAAAGTGGTGATGTCAATGCAAAAACCAAGGATTTCCAGAGAACCATTAGTTTCACAGGGGTTGAACAGGGTCAAGCAATTCCAGGAACATCTAAATGCGAAGTTTCTTAATAACTTCGATTCATTTTTAATGAATAGGATATGTCGAAATTTTTTAAGGTTTCCAAGGTTTCCGATTCCTTGTGATGAAAGGACATGGGGTTATACTAGGTTTGATCAGATTTTTTTTTTATCCGTACAGTACATTCTATTATAATTTTTCAAGCCTTTCAAGAATTCTGACGACGCTTGCCGATGTGGATGCGAGTGTTTGTCTTTTCTTCACCTAAACCTCACATTCACATTCACATGCACATCCACACCGATACTCGTTCCACGTCCACATACACCTGCCCAATACATCTTCTTTCTCTATTCATCTTTCGAACTGAGAAACATTTCAATAGTTAAACAATGGTTCTATCTAAATATAGAAGCATTACAATCAAGTGAGTAATAGAATAAGATAAAGTACAAGATACAAGGCTAACACGTCTGCAAGAGAATATTTAAACTGTCAGTTCCATTATTGACGACGACAATATCTAGTTTTCTGTCATTGTTGAAGTCTCCAACGGCAATGGAAAATGGATTGGATCCATAGTCCAACGGAAATAGGATGATACTTGCAAATGTAGCGTTACCATATCCAAGAAATACACCTAGATTGTTGTTGTCATAAATCGCGATGACAATGTCTTGTATAGTATCGTTGTTAATGTCACCGACAGCTAGAGAATATTCAGTCGAATTTGAACCTGTTGAATACGACATCACATTTCCAAAAGAGCCATTGCCGTATCCAAGAAAAACACCAATGGTATCCGAGTTACAACTAGTAAAAACGATATCCACTTGAGTATCATTGTTGAAATCACCAACAGCCATAGAGCATGGAAATAAATATGGGCGAGTTAAATATGCCAGTTGATTTGTAAAAGACATATTGCCATATGAAAGAAAAATACCAATATTGTGGGTAAGTGAATTAACGACGCCGATATCCATTAGACCATCGTTGTTAAAGTCGCTAATCACTAGCGACTGAGGTCGGGAACCATCTCCAGTTATGAGCATCATTTGCTTTACAAAAACTATGTAGTCATAGCCAAGAAGGACACTCACATCATTGCTATTCCCATTGGCGACAACGATATCTAGTCGAGTGTCATTGTTGAAATCACCAATAGCTAAAGATTCTGGATAAGTGCCAACTGAATATCTTGTTTGTTCTGCAAAAGAACCATTCCCATATCCAAGAAGAACACTCACATCACTGCTATCTCCATTGGCAACAACAATATCTAGTCGAGTGTCATTGTTGAAATCACCAACAGCTAAAGATTGTGTATTAGAGCCAACTGAATATCTTGTTTCTTTTCCAAAAGAACCATTTCCATATCCAAGAAGGACACTCACATGATTGCCACCATAATAGGCGACAACGATATCTAGTCGAGTGTCATTGTTGAAATCACCAACAGCTAAAGATCGTGGATTAGAGCCAACTGAATATCTTGTTTGTTCTGCAAAAGAACCATTTCCATATCCAAGCAGGACGCTCACATCATGGCTATCCAAATTGGCAACAACGATATCTAGTCGAGTGTCATTGTTGAAATCACCAACAGCTAAAGATTGTGGATTAGAGCCAACTGAATATCTTGTTTGTTCTGCAAAAGAACCATTTCCATATCCAAGAAGGACACTCGCATCATTGCTATAAAGATTGGCAACAACGATATCTAGTCGAGTGTCATTGTTGAAATCACCAACAGCTACAGAATATGGTAAAGAGCCAACTGAATATCTTGGTTCTCTTACAAAAGAACCGCGATTGTATGCAAGAAAGATATCCACATTATCCCGTCCATTGTAAGCGATAACGATTTCCGATCGTTTGTCATTATTAAAATCACCAGAAGCCACGGCTAATGGACGTGAATCGAAACTAACTCCTTCAGTTGTTTCATTTGCAAACGTTCCGTTCCCATTTCCAAGGATCATCCCAACATCCTTTGTACCATAATTGACTACAGCGATGTCCACTACACTGTCGCCATTGAAGTCGTCAATAGCAATCGAAATCGGATGAGAAATTGAGCCAGTGCTAAGCATCATTTGATTTTCGAAATTACCATTTCCATATCCAAAAAGGATACCTACATTATTAGTGCCGTAATTAGCCAACACGATATCCACATTAGTGTCGTTATTCAAATCACCAATCACTACACACCGTAGGCTAGATCCACCGCCAGATGCATAGGCTATTTCATATGCTATCGCTCCATATTGTAGCAGGACACTAACATCATTGCTATAATAATTGGCAACAACGATATCTAGTCGAGTGTCATTGTTGAAATCACCAATAGCTACAGATGATGGCCAAGAACCAACTGAATATCTTATTTGTTCTGCAAAAGAACCATTCCCATATCCAAGAAGGATACTCACATCAATGCTGTTCCTGTTGGCAACAACGATATCTAGTCGAGTGTCATTGTTGAAATCACCAACAGCTAAAGATTGTGGATAAGTGCCAACTAAATAACTTGTTTCTTTTGCAAATGAACCATTCCCATATCCAAGAAGGACACTCACATCAGTGCTGTCCCCATTGGCAACAACGATATCTAGTCGAGTGTCATTGTTGAAATCACCAACAGCTACAGATGATGGAGAAGGGCCAACAGAATATCTTGTTTCTTTTCCGAAAGAACCATTTCCATATCCAAGAAGGACACTCACATCATCGCTATCCCAGTTGACGACAACGATATCTAGCCGAGCGTCATTGTTGAAATCACCAACAGCTACAGATGATGGAGAAGGGCCAACTGAATATCTTGTTTCTTTTCCAAAAGAACCATTTCCATATCCAAGAAGGACACTCACATCATTGCTACCCGCATTGGCAACAACGATATCTATTCGAGTGTCACTGTTAAAATCACCAACAGCTACAGATTGTGGATTAGAGCCAACTGAATATCTTGTTTGTTCTACAAAAGAACCATTTCCATATCCAAGAAGGACACTCACATCATTGCTATAAAGATTGGCAACAACGATATCTAGTCGAGTGTCATTGTTGAAATCACCAACAGCTACAGATGATGGAGAAGAGCCAACTGAATATTTTGTTTCTTTTGCAAAAGAACCATTCCCATATCCAACAAGGACACTCACATCATTGCTAATCGAATTGGCAACAACGATATCTAGTCGAATGTCATCGTTGAAATCACCAACTGCTACAGATAGTGGAGGAGAGCCAACTAAATATCTTGTTTCTTCTTCAAAATAATCATCTCCATATCGAAGAAGGACACTCACATCATTGCTACCCGAATTGGCAACAACGATATCTAGTCGAGTGTCACTGTTAAAATCACCAACAGCTACAGATTGTGGATTAGAGCCAACTGGATATCTTGTTTGATTTAAAAAACCTTCAAAATGATCAAGGAGAATATCTATGCTACCAGTATCATTGTTCACGACGACAATATCTAATCGATGGTCCTTGTTGAGATCACCTATTGCGACTGAAATCGAAGAAGAAGATCCAGTTGAATAAGGAATTGGTTCGTTAAATTTGCCATTCCCATAACCAAGAAGTATAGCTATATTCTCATTGCCGTTGTTAGTGATGACAATGTCTAATCGATTGTCTTCGTTGAAGTCTCCAATGCCTATCGCATACGGAGAAGCGGAACCGATGGAATAGTTGGCTTGATTAGCAAAAGTTCTATTGCCATTGTTCAGAAGTACGCCTACTTCATGAGTTCCGGAGCTAGCGATAGCTATGTCAATAAATCTGTCCTCATTGAAATGGCCAACAACGATTGAGTATGGATGAGAGCCAGCGCCAGTTGAAAACATAGTTTGTTTTTCAAAAGTTTTGTTGCTATTTCCAAAAAGTATGCCAACATTGTTCGTACCATAATTAGCGATGGCGAGGTCTACATAGTTGTCATTATTGAAATCTCCAGCAGCTAATGAAGATGGAAGAGAATCATAACCTGTTGAATAAGTAATTGTAGGAGAAAAATTTCCATTGCGAGTCCCATAGAGTATGCTGACACTGTGAGTTCCATAATTGGCGGTGGCGATATCAAGTAATGAGTCATTGTTGAAATCAAAGGCAATAATTGCTATTGGACGAGATGAGCCTGTTGAAAACTCTATTTGACTTGCGAAAGATCC